GTCACCACCTGACAAATGTCTTCCTGAAATACACCATTTGATAGGCAGTGTAAAATAAGGCAAAGGGCTTAAGATCATCTTTTCTACACTTTTGCACCAACAATAGGTTATACATTCACTTGTTACTGTGATTAAGCTGTTTTTTTTTAATAAATGAAATTCTTACACACCCCACATATCAAGAAAACTTCATTAGCTGGAGAACAGCAGGAAAATAATACTCTTTATGAAGCAATAAGTGATTTGGCTGCAGCTTGGCACAACTTTACCAAACGTTTGGAGCAAAGTCTGTACTGAGAAGATGTTCATGAAATTAGTATCGTCATGAAATATAATATTGTACTGTTGGTTATAGCGTATTTATAGACTTTATGAGGTTTAATCCTCCAGTTTTATATGGACAAATAAAAATAATTATTTATAGGCTCTTTATAAATCTTTTTGTTAAACATTCAAGTGAGCAGAAAGCAAAGCTGAACAGTGACATGAGACAAACACGTTTTCCCACTTTGATAACAGATTCCATTCCTGTCTCTTTTTCCTATAAAATGCATTTTATCGATAAGGTAGCGTTTCATTTCAACATGTGATTTTGAGTCATCTGAACTCGTTTGTTGAACTTGTGAGTTTTCTAACAGGACATACAGTGAGCTCACAGTAAGCTAAAACTAAGGCAGTTTAAACTCAGTTCTGCTGCTCAGACAGTGGAAGAGCCACAACACTCCCACGGTCTGAACAGTGATCCAGATTCATTCCCCCATCGTGTTAAAGCTCCTGCTTTAGCCGAGAAATGTTTAATATTACAAGCTATCTGAATCTGTTCTGGTCCTAAAACAACTGCTGGTTCACATGAGTGAGAGGCTGCTATAGAGCACAGAGTGATGAGGTGTGTGTGACTTGCAGCTTATAGACAGAACAAAGCTTTACGCCTTGAAAGCTATGCTGTGTTGGGAATACATCAGCACATGATAATGTAGCTGCAGTGTGTTTGAGCAGTGTGTGTCTTGTGTTTGAAAAGACGCGAGGATTATTCTACAAAAGATCTAAAAAGCTCATTCATTATCACTCTCTCTCACACAGAAGAGTTATTTTGGGGTAAAAACTGTCATTAGCAAGGATGGGTTAAAGGTGGAATGAAGCTGATTTGTGCAAAATCCAAACACATCAGAGATAAGTAATTAAAGAGCTTCTTTCCAAACTTTTATATCCATTTACCCAATTAAGATTGTTTATTACTTCCAAATCACAAAGAGCTATGACTTCATGAAGAATATTCTTGTATAATCTAGATTTTTTTAAAGCTTTGTGTTGATGGATATCCTGTTTTAGAAAGAAGCTATTCAGTGACACAACACTACACTAGCTTTACAGAAAGAGAGATAAATGACATCAAATAGAGTTAAACATAACTTCACCAAGAAGCACTAAATATATATTTTTTTCATATTTATGTTGATTTAAGAAATACATAGAAAAATATATAGTCATCTGAATGCCCATTATACAATTCTACCCAGTAGAGTCAGAAAGAAGCCTGTACAGTAGATTCAGTGCAGGATGACAGTGTGAGAGCTGAAGATGTGACACGTTCAGGGATTATTTACTGTGGTGGATGGACACAATCGGTTTCTCATCTCGTATGGAAAATAATTAGAAACCAATCATTCAGCTTTGGTGAAGGCATGGTTGAAATTAGAGATGCACCAATCACAGTTTTCTTGTCTGGTTCTGACTTTTTCTACTGATTCCAGTTCAGGCCATTCCTCTAAGAACTTGAATGAATAGAACACTAAATGTGTGTTTTCTTGATTTCTAGATGAATTGAAAATGTACTTAAAAAATATTTACTGCAAAATATTGTTTTATATTTTCTCCCATTAAATAAGGTGCCAAATTATAGAGCATTCATTCTTTGGATAGAGGTATTTGTACAAATAACCCCCAACAAAAATATGGTTGTATATGTGTTTTAACAGATGTTTTAATAATTTGTGGCACAAATTAAAACACAAAACTGTACTTTTTAACAGCCTCATTTTCCCCCCACAAGACTTGAGTTTAAAATAATTTGCAGCTGAGCCCAACAAGATGTCTGAAGTAAAGAGCTCGCTCTAATTTACTGTTAGTTGTGTAAGATTTCTAAATTGTTCATGCATTTTATTGTATGTAAATACATGGAAAATTACAGCTTGATAATTATAACAATTAAACTGTAAAATATTTAGTTAAATTTGTCAACCTGTTGACAAAATTATAGCTCTCACACAAAAAGCTGCAGTGAGACATGTCACCTGTTGAAGTGGCAGCTGGTATTTAAATGGAAAATACAGTTTTTATGTCAGCAACATGAGCTGCAGACATACAGAAATTCTGCATAAAATATTTTTCTTTTAGCAGCTTTTTATGCATATTGTGTTTCCTCTGATTATAGTTTTAAATACCCAACATAAGTAAAAAACAGCTTGCTCTGTGTTTTCTTCACTTTATAAAAATATATACCGGTAAACAGAAGATGTGCTTAACTACTGTATGGTGCATTCACTGACCAGGGGGCAAATTTTTTAATTTATTTTATTTTTTTGTTTCAAACCAGCAGTCGAGATGTTAATCAGCTGATCTCAGTCACCAGCTGATTGAATAGTGCATCCCTAATTGAAACCAAACCTAAACATCTGTAAACCTAAACATCTGTATTTGTATTTGTTAGCCTGTTGACACCGTCCTCATTTTTAATCATAACTGAAAAAAGCACCAGCAACATATACTGTAGAGACACAGGCAGCAACACTTTGTACCTTACAAGTATTTGGATGTCTTGCATTTGCACAGAAAGCACAAGAAATCCCTCCAGTGATGGAGGAGCCACAGCACATGTATGTGTTAGACCACATGTGTTTAACGTGTTAGAAGTATAAAAAATGCTACAATATGTGCACACAGCTTTTGAGTGGGCAACACTTCACATATTTTAAAGATTATACTCTCAGCAGAGTTTCATTCCTTCATGATATATATTTACTAAAGCCATTTAAACAAATCATTTGCATTAGTATGCACGGGTACTTGGAGGTATACTGATGCCTGACCTTCTGCAAGTCAAATAGTACATGCAAACGTTTCAAATTCTGAAGAGTTGGTTTGAATAAACTAAGGCTATCATACGGATTCATTTTGATTGGAGGATTTTGGTGAGAGTTCAGATACTGAAAGTCCTAGAGAGCACCGAAGAATCTGTTCCCCCAGTTTTGTAATCTACAGTATATGCATGCATTGGTGTTAGCATTGATGCTTAAGCACAGTAGGTGTTGTGTGTGGTTTGGTTTTCAGTGTGAACGTGGAACCAGACTGAAATGCAACACTGAAAGTGAGATAAAGTGTCAATAAATGTCTACAGATTGCAAAATCAGGCTGTAAAATGTAACAATATGAATAGAACTGTTGTCGTTTTCTCCTAAATCAGATCAAATATTTATTAATCAATTAGCAAAATGTCACTTTGTATATCAAAGTTCATGCTCAATAATCCAGGTAAAAAAAATCCAACAAATTTAACTCAGGTTATCTGGATGGTTTCTTTCTTTTTTTTTTTTTGTTGAGACATTTCATCCTTCATCTAAAGGACTTCATCAGTCCAAGGAGCCACAACAAACTCAGTCCCACAAGCAGCATACTCACATAGCAGGCTAACCAGTTGGCCCACTATGGCTATGGTTATATATTACCATACTGTATATATATTGCCATTTTACTGGAAGTGGCAGAAATGAATATACTGAGGTTCTTCTTATGAGTGACAAGGATGGATAAGATTAGGAATGAGATCATCAGAGGTACAGCACAGGTTGAACAACTGGGAGATAAAGTTAGAGAGACCAGAATGAGATGGTTTGGACATGTCCAGAGGAGGGACAGTGGGTATACTGGTAGAAGGATGTTAGAAATGCAGCTGCAAGGAAAAAGACAAAGAGGAAGGTCAAAGAGAAGATATATAGGTGTAGTGCAACCAAGAAAAGGTGTTGGGTATCTAACTTGAGTTAATGTAGATTCTGAGTTTGAAAAATATTTTAATTTTGGCCCCCTTTTGTAAGTGAGCTTGACACCCCTGACCGAATCTAAAATTGTTGGATTATTTTACCTGGATTATTGAACATGAACTTTGATGTTTTGAACCACTTTGGCTATGGCTTCCTCAGAGAAGTCGACGGGGGAGAGGGCAGGCCCCAGAAACCATCTTAACACCAGCAAACTGGTTAGTTCACTATGTAGTGTGCTGCTTGTGAGACTGAGTTTGGTGTGGCCCCCTCGGACTGATGAAGTCCTTTGGATGAAGGACGAAATGTTTCAACAAGAAAAAGTACCTTTGTATATTTTTTAGTTTTTTCTTTTAACCTTTGTGCATCTTTATTAATGGTTCATAAACAAAGCATTTGTTCAGTTTGGAGTTTGACATTTTGATTAATCTTATGCTGTAATGTTTAGTTTGCTTTCCTGCAGTCGAGTGATGCTTGTAGTTTTACAGTGGTATGCTGGCTTGTTTAGAATTTAGTGAACCTGGAAATTTGCCCATCTTTTCAATGTTAGTTAACCCAAACAATAATACTTTGCTCCTCAAGATAAAATGGCATCTGTTAATAAAACTAAACGGAGGGAACAGACTCTTAAAACCTTAAAGTTTTATTTTCCAATGTTTCCTCTTCAAAATTTAGCAAAAATACTTTAACCTACAATAAATGTTTTGCTTGTCGCTCCCTAACATTCAAGACCTACTTTGCTCACAGTAAATCTGATAAAAGCCTTTTGAGTTCACATTTTTTATACTGTTTATTATCAATTTTTCTATTATCACCACCATTTATTGTAAAAAAAAAAGAAAGTTTCTTGCATTTTGTTTGAAGAATCATCTTAAACAAGATGTTAAATAATGGATCTAAAACAATAAAGATAAAATGAAAATATTAGTGGTAAAAAAAAAAAAAGGTACCATATTAAAATCTGTTTTGTTGTGTTAAAAATTTGGTCTCGCTGGCCTTCTGCTCAGATTCAAAGAATCAAGAGCATGTGAGTGTGTTTCTTCATGTTAGGATTAATATCATGGTGGAGATGTAGAAGTAAGTTAAATGTGATGACTGAATCATGAGGAGTCCATCAGTACAAATCACTGAAAGGTTTAGAGTAGTTGAACATCAGATAGTCCATGTAGTAGAAGTCATATACTCGTTGTCTCTCCATCATGGTGACCTGTGAAAAGTATTTCTCAGTGATCTCCTTTGAGGTCCGTGCATCGCCTGGATTCCTGTCTTTAAAACTCGGCAGAATGAGGCTGGGTGGCGCCCCGATCATTCGCAGGAGAAAGTTGGATTCCTCCTCCATGTTTTCAAACTTGCCGATGATGTCATAGTGGATGACACAAGGGTGGCAGAGCTGGTTCACCTGCTCCCAGTGAATATCCATCCCCACAGGCCGGTGCACATCCAACAGGTACCGGATGAATTCTTTGAACATGACCCCGCTGCCTGTTTTCAGGGCCTCTTCCGATGGGGTCACCCTGTACTTTGATATGATGGGCTTCCCGAACATGTTGTGGTAGTAGTCGTTGGGATTCTCAAACTTGTCCCGGTACGCTGACACCACTCTCTCAAGCGGCTCACGGACAAACAAGAATTTATTGTAGGTTTCCAGACGGTGCATTATTTCCTTTTGGTTGAACGTGTTAAGCTTCTTGATGTGCCCACCGTAGTGGACCGTTTCATGCTGAATGTTCTCAACACTGGACGCCTGGCCTGACAACACCATCAGGGTCCTTTTCCAGTTGGAGCAGCCCGACTTGGGCACGGAGCAGTACAACAACCTGTTCTTGTCCTCCACAAAAATGTGTTTGATGTGCTCCGGTGTGATCGTCTTTGAGATGCTGCCTTTGTACTTGGCGCACATCTCTTTCATCAGCTGCTTCCGAGCGTCCATGATGCTCTGGAGCTTTTCCCTGCTTTCGTCGGGACTCGTCTTCAGCAGCTGTCGTTGCTTTTTGGTGGTTTGAAGGGAGCCCATGTCCTGCTCCTGGGACACAACTGGGGCCTTCTGCTTGTTTTTCTCAAAGTTTGGGAGCTGCATCGGGGAGATGGGGATATCTTCTGCAATTTGATAATAGTCAGATTTAGTCCCTTCTTGGTCCTGAGGGCAGGGATTCTGTAAAAACACAGATTGATAGGTGTGTGAGACCAAACAGGCAAGAACAGTTTTTTGTAATAAAGTGAATATTGTGCAAAAACAGACTTTTAAAACCTCATTCACAAGGAAAACCTGAGCTTCTTTGTTAGCAAGGCATGCACAAACACACACAAAGACCACTTGATGGTGCTGTTTTACCACTGCTCAAACAAAGGTGCAACAAATGCAAATGTCACAGACTGCTCAATGCCACCCATGACCTATCAATAAACTGAGCTGTAACACCATATAAATGTCTTATAAACAGCTAATGGAGAATCCAAATTAGAATCATCTACTGCCTGATTACCATCAGATGATGGCTGAGGCCATCACACATTCTGACATTTTATTTCAATTAAATGCTGTGATGGCATCATAAAGCCAATAGACTTGATGTATAATTTTAATTTTACAACAGACAAGGTAATGGGACCATCATAAATCTCTTGTCTTCATCTTTCCGACTTAAAAGGCCACATTCTTTCATCTGTAGGGAAATCTAGACAGAAGAAAAAAATGGGAAGTGTTTTCTCCTGTAGTGGGTTAAACGTGCGAGGGAAGGGCGAGGCAGAAAGCTCCACACGAGACATCACGTTGTTTAGGGCAGGGATCTGCAACTTGTGGCTGTGGAAATACATGTGGTTATTTGGTCCCTCCGCAGCGGCTCTTTCAAGCTTTGACCAAAACTAACATAAAACTGAATTTTATAGGATCTTATACCCACAACAAAAAATGACTAGTTCTAGCAGTTTTCCTGTCATTTCCTTTGCAAATATTAGGATACTAGTACTAATACACAAAGCAAAT